GTGGAGCTGCGAAGATGAGGCCTGGCGCGACATCGTATCAGATTATGGGGCCGCAGAACCGAAAGGTCAACTGGAAAGAGATCTGGAGCGAAGGAACGGATGCTGTGCTGGATGTGCCAGTCGGTGGAGTCTGCGAAGTTCTTTACGGACAGGAGCGCGATGATGATGAGTTGTTTGAAGAGACGCCTAATATTTCATAGACTATAATCTTAATTTCCAGATAGACTTTATCATGTGAATACATACAAACACTGTATTTGAATGATAACCATGAATCGGGATCCGTTATCCCCTGATCGGCAACTTATCTCCACGTGATGTACCGAGTGCAAGAGAGAGAGAGAGATCTTGTAGTAAATGACACCGGGGGAATTGACTTCGTGACCAACAAGAAGCTCATTTCAAATGGGACCTGAGCGGAATGAAGGAAACGCAGATAACGAGAGCACACGTTAAATCTCCTGTAGACAACACAGCAGAGGCACTAAAAGAAGGTTTCGGTATGTGGGCTGAATGAACCATTGCCCATAAGGCTCATGACAAATGCTGTGCCATCCTGGCAGCATTCCGCCCGGCAATGGCTGGTTGAAACGAAAGTAAAAGAAAAAGAAAAATAGAAAACCATAAAAATAGCGACACGTTGTGCTTACATGGCCCATCTATTACTTAGTAGTTATCTGCCAGGCTAAAATCCAATTCGAGACCCGTCATTCCATCCTGATTGGTGGGTTAAACGGGGATTGAGTGCCTGAGGTACTGAACTGGACGGAGTACTGTTGGATCTATCTATTATCTACTATTATCTCTACTACTACTAAGAAGTAAGTACTCAGCTGAAGTGGAGGTTGTCGTCAGGTACATGCGACAACTGGGACCTGATTGATTTAATTACTTTTCCCTCTCAACCTCAGATTTGCAATCTGTATGATACAAGGGTGAGAGAAAATCCATGCACGCCTTCATCTCTCAAATGAAATGAAGTGAATGTAAAGTATCATGCACCGACCCTGACCGCATCTTAAAAAGTGAAGAAGAGAAGAGAAGTAAAATTGGGGGTTGGGAAGGCCAGCTCGCCCAGCGCTAAAAGCGGTTACGGCCGCGTGGGCGCCTACAGAACCAACGAAAGCTCAGCGGCGGCGGTGGCTTTCCCCGACCTCAACTGCGAGGAGAGAGAGAACGCGCACCCAGTCACTCCGAATCGTCTCGGGGGCTCAAGCTTGCATCGCTGACCGTCTCCTTTCCCCCCCCCCTGCACGCTCCATTTCCGAGACCCCAAAAATTAAACGGGTCCTTTACTGCCCTCTTGAAATTATATTCCCATTGTTTGTTTTTCCTCCCCTCGGCGTTGACACGGCCTGGAACTTCGCTTCCTGCCGTTGTCGCCCCGTTCCCTCCACCTGTGGGCTTACACGGAGACAAACACTCGGTTGCGATTCAGAAGATCACCACACCTCGCCCTTTTCCATTGGGAACAGCGCCCTTCCTGATCCTCCCTCTGGCGACTTCGTGAGCAACGCTGCTCGGTCGCTACAAATTCCACTCCTTTCATCCTCTCCCATTGTCGATTTTGCATGGCTTGGCAGTCTCCCTCGGCCATGGCTGGGGGCGGAGGGTACGTCGGCCCCGGGGGTGATGGGTCTTCTAACGGCGGGCATCCCCAGGGGACGGAGTACACCCTGCAAGGTGGGTACCCAGTGATAGATCTCGACGGTTGGGGGGAGAGGCTAATTGCTTTTTCGGTTCATTTCTAGGTGTGATGCGCTTTCTGCAGACGGAGTGGCACCGCCACGAGCGTGACCGCAATGCCTGGGAGATCGAACGCGCGGAGATGAAGTCTCGCATCGGAAAGCTGGAGGGTGATGTTCGTACGAGTAAACGCTTACATGAATCATTGGGGAAGCACGTCAGGTTGCTCGAGGCCGCCTTGAAGAAGGAGCGCGAGAAGGTCAAGAAGCTCAGCAACAATGAGAAGGTTGAGGACACTAGGGATCCGAAAGAGATTGCCAAGGAAAGCATCAACTCTCTGAAAGGTGAGTTTATTGTTGGCTTACGGAGTGGTGATATCGTATCGGTGTACTGATTGCTGTCTAGCCCAACGCCCCAAGCCTCATACGGGACCCAGCGAAGTCGATGTGAACCTTGAGAACGAACACGAATATCGCCAAGAGAACGAGCGGGAGAAGTCGCGATTGTACCTTTCGAAGTGCTCTCAGGAAGTTGCCTATCATGTCATTCCTTCGTCACACCCTCCTCCGGAACTCGGCGAGCAGGATCTCCCAAATCACATCTACGGCAACCAACAGCTGTCTCAGCAGAGCCTGGAGGAGGCATACCTCCAGCAGCAACGCCAGAAACAGCACCACCAGCAGCAGCAAGCACAAGCGAACGATATGATGGCGCGAGAGGTGGCGCTTCAGAACCACCAACCCGTCATCACACACTACGCAGATAACGCGGCCATGTCTCGCGCACAAAATCAATTCGGTTTCCCACCTGCGACCAGGGAAGCGATGGAGAGACGACCCCTCGAGCCACAACAAACCCCGCTTACCGCGATCGATAATAGAAAGCAGGCCCTCGGCAACTCGCTGATGGAAGAGCGCGCCGGTCAGGGGGACCAGGCATATGATGGATATGGCTCACAATCGGCGGCTAAGGATGCCAAGCAACAGCGAATGGAAGAGCAAGGTGGTGATGATGCAGATGGCTGGAACTTCGACGAGCCGGCCGAACCGGCACCGCAGGCGGAACAGGTACCACCGCACCGGCCTGATGTGGATGCTTTCCCGAATGCAAACTTTGTCAGTTCCAAGTCTCCGCAGCGGTCCGGATCTCTCTCGCATCGGCGGAAAAGTTCCGGTGCCAGAAGGAAGAGTGATGGTGCCGTTGATCTTGCAGCGGGCCCCAAGCCAGATCCGACCTTCAAGGTTCGGTTCGCCCTCCGCGGCCATCTAGATGTCGTCCGTTCGGTGATTTTCACGGGCGGCGGAAGCCCTTCGGAGCCCGAAATTTGTACATGCAGTGATGATGGAACGATCAAACGATGGATTATACCCGCCACTTATGGCACCTTTGGCGCAAGCTCGAGTGACCTGGACATTACCAGCTATTTCACTCACCGTGGACATGTGGGGGCTGTGACTGCGCTTGCGGCATGCTCTCCGCAGAACTTCTCCAATGGAGGCCGTGCGCTCGGGGACGGCTGGGTTTTCTCAGGTGGACAAGATACCAGCGTCCGAGTGTGGGAACGTGGACGTGTTGACCCGAAGGCGACGCTTGATGGCCACACGGACGCCGTCTGGGGTCTCTGTGTTCTACCTGGAACCGCAGGCTCTGTGTTAGGCGAGTCCAGCAGCCATTACGGTGGCCCCGATCGTATCCTACTCGCATCCGGTGGTGCGGACGGCCGTATCATCATATGGGCTGTTAGTGCGCCCCCGCAGCTTTCTTCCCCTCAAGCAGGGTCTCGACGCGCTGGTGGTAGCCGGAGAGCCAACTCGATCTCTTCCGGCTCCAACTTCCCCTCGTCACCGCAACCCAGCACGGCGACTACCACGCCATTCCACTACAGTATGGTTCGTCAGATTGTTCGGACCGAGTCTCCCTCCCCAACGTGCATTAGCCCGTTGTCGCTTGCAGGTATCAATTTTGTTGTGTCCTACACCGACGCCTCCATCCTTGTGTATGATACAAGGACTGGCGAGGAAATTGTGGGCATGGCGAGTCTGGAGACATACGATGGCACGCCTTCGACGGGCGTTAACTCTGTTGTCGCCACTACAGTCGGATTTGATGGTTCGGCAGGACTTGACCCCAGTCGGACAATGGGCGAAGAAGAGGTCGTCCATGGTGCGACTGGCTCCAGTGGTGTCGAAGGCGTAATCATTAGTGGATACGAAGACCGCTACATTCGCTTCTTCGATGCTAACAGCGGTATGTTTCACCCAAGCTTCCTTTAGCTATTTAGTATACTTACAATCTATGTTTAGGCCAATGCACATATACGATGTTGGCCCATCCATCGGCGATCGCCTCGCTTTCGCTATCCCCAGATGGACGTGAGCTAGTCTCTGCGGGTCATGACGCCAGCTTGCGGTTCTGGAACCTCGAGAAGCGGAGCTGCACTCAAGAAATCACGAGTCACCGATTGATGCGTGGTGAAGGAGTGTGTGCCGCCGTCTGGAGCCGCGATGGCCGCTGGGTCGTCAGTGGAGGTGGTGACGGGGTTGTCAAGGTGTTCTCGAGATAGCGAGACCCCTTTGCTGATGTATGTTTCTTTCTTTCGACAGCTGATTCTTCCTTTTCCTACGGCATGTTCTTCGCACGCATGAGATGGATGAGCGCTTGGCCGATTCTCGAGCATTTGCAACGGTGTCAATCTACCTGGCATATGTTCCTTTCTACTCCTGTGGTTATAGTTTCTTTACTCTTCTACCCTTTTATTGACAATCAGCTGCTCTGCTCGTCCAGCCCTGCCTGATGGTACGAGCTTATGTTTTTCATACCTCTTTTTTATTTCCTTAGCCCTGTCCTTGACTCACATACCCCACGCGGACTCGAAGGGGGGGATATAATGTGTGCTTTTATACTCCGTGACGTTCAACCGCTGTCTGCCACACGTCTGCCAGGTGTCTTTATAACACGACATTTTCGATACCAGCGAATTTCTTGGTGTGTTTCCATATGAATAGGATTTGCGGACCGTGTGGTCGCCTTTCTTGAATGTCTTGATATTCCTGGTCCCCAGTACATGGGGGGTGCTGTGGATGAACGCTGTATGATGATCTCCTTGCCCTGTCCTTTAGAGCCTTTCGCACCAGCCTGTACATTGCCTGATTTCTGCCCCAATTATTCTCGAACCCGTTTGCGAACTAGGGTACCTAAGCCTGAAGTATAGATGTATTCAAAGTCGCTGAGCATTGGTCTACCCTCAACTGTACAATATTCCAATCCACATATTCCCCCCCAATGCAATTTCACACATAAGGATTTACGCCACACATCCAAATCAATGTCAAATAATTCCATGACAAGGTATCATTTTACATACAATACACCCCTACCCACGATTAAGCACCCCACGCTCCCCAACACACAAACCTAAATAATAATATTAAATAACAACTCATTGCTTCTCCCAAGCCCCCTTAAACACCCCCCTCAATCTCCTCGCCTCCTCACTATCCTTCAACCTCTGCTCCAAGAACCCCTGCAAATCATCCCAAAACGCCTCCGTCCTCAACACCTCCTCCCCACTTGGCCCAACCGCCGCCTTAGGCGCAGCGGCAGCAGTAGCATTCCCATCTCCCTCACCACCCTCCACAACCTTCGCCCCTCCCATAATCATCACCCCAAACTCCACCTCCTTGCCTCCCGCCAACATCTCCGGCTCATCAGCCAACAACTCCGCAATCGTCTTCCCCGTCACCGGCTTCCGCTTATACAGAATCTTGATCTTCTCCAATGACACCTTTCCGTCCTGTGCGTCAACCACCCGTTCCTGAACTGCGTCTTTGAGGTCCTGCACTGAGGTCGTGGTGATGGGTGCGTTGGGCAGGGTGAATTCGAATGCGGGGTTGCGTGCGCTCTTTACGTGTACGGTTATGGATTTCGAGGAGCCCGGGGCTTGCGTCCGTTGCACTTTCTTGGGCATTTCGGGGTGCGGGGCGCTGAGGCGGGGGAGGAGGTACTGATCATTTTATTTGTTAGTTTATTTGGGTTATGGGGGTCCGAGTGGGAGTGCATAGGGAAGAGGAGGGGGGACATGATGGGATGGACGTACAGGGACGCGAGGTCCGACTCGCTCTTCGTCCAGGACATAGTCTGCTCGGAGCTTGATGGGGCGGGAGTCGAGCGATGAGAGGAAGGATTTGATGAAGGCGACTTCGGACATGTTTGCGGTTTTCTTTAATATAGGTGAGTGAGGGAGGTTGTATGTCGAGCGAGAAAGTGTATAGGGGGAGTAGATGAGATAGAGACAGTCAATATGGATGCGGCATGTGGTACTGCCATTACCCAATTGGGCGGTAGCTGAAGCCCATCCCTCTGACTGCATTTGGTGCCTCAGGCTGTACAATATACTTACCGCCTTGCGGGACTCTTTCTGCCGGCGCCAACCGCCCGCAGAAAAAAAAGTAACGAAAGAAAAAAGTTTGGATTCTCCGCTTCAGACTCCAGTTATCCAACTTTCACCACCCTTTCCCATTCACATTTTCATTATGGGTGTCGGTCGTCGTATGAAGAAGCAGGGCCCTCCGGCCCCGCTGGATGAGTCTAAGATCACCATTTACAAGAAGCGCAAGGCTGGTGAGCCCGAGTCGAAGCCCGAGACGGGAAAGAAGCGGAGAAGATCTGATGCCGATGAGGAGAAGGTCGCGAAGCCCGCTGTCAAGAAGAAGGCCAATGGCGCTGTTAATGGCAAGGCGACTAAGGCTGAGGCTAAGCCTAAGGCTGAATCCAAGCCCAAGGCTAAGGCCGTCGAGAAGAAGCCGCAGTTCATGGATTCCGACGACGAGGATGACGACGAGGAAATGTCTGGTATTGAGGAGATGGATGCCGATGAGTTCGACGATCTGGACGGTATAAGCGATGGCTCGATGGATAGCCAGGAGGAGGACAACGACTCGTTCGTCGATTCCGACGATGATGACCACCCTCGCGAAACCATGTTCTCCGACGACGAAGACCTTTCCGACGCTGAAGAGAAGCTGACCGCCGCCAACATCGAGGGTTTGTCGCGCAAGCTGGACCTGCAGAGACAGGAAGAGGAGGAGGAGGCCGAGCGCGAAATCAAGGAATCCGCCATGCAGACCAACATCGCCGGTGACCGTCCCGATGTCTTCGGCGACGCAGAGGGCACTCAGCCCGGCCTGGCTCCCGATCTCCAGCTGCTCCGTACCAGAATCACCGACACTATCCGTATCCTGGGTGATCTGAAGACCCTCGGTGCCCCCGGCAAGTCTCGTACCGATTACACCCAGCTGCTCATCGCCGACATCTGCACCTACTACGGCTACACCCCCTACCTCGCCGAGAAGCTCTTCAACCTCTTCACCCCCATGGAAGCCTTCGCCTTCTTCGAAGCCAACGAAACCCCGCGTCCCGTCGTCATCCGTACAAACACCCTCCGCACCAACCGTCGTTCCCTCGCCCAGGCGCTCATCAACCGTGGTGTCGTGCTCGAGCCCGTCGGCAAGTGGTCCAAGGTCGGTCTCCAGGTCTTCGAATCCGCCGTCCCCCTTGGTGCCACCCCCGAATACCTGGCCGGTCACTACATCATCCAAGCCGCCTCTTCCTTCCTCCCCGTCATGGCCCTCGCCCCGCAGCCCAACGAGCGTGTTCTCGATATGGCCTCCGCCCCCGGTGGTAAGACCACCTACATCTCCGCCCTCATGCGCAACACCGGCTGCGTCATCGCCAACGATGCCAGCAAGCCCCGTGCCAAGGGTCTGATCGGTAACATCCACCGTCTGGGCTGCAAGAACACCATCGTGACCAACATGGACGCCCGCACCGCCTTCCCCAAGGCCATGGGCGGGTTTGACCGTGTCCTTCTCGATGCCCCCTGCACCGGTACCGGTGTTATTTCCAAGGACCCGGGCGTCAAGACCTCCAAGAACGAGCGCGACTTCCTCGCCATCCCCCACATGCAGCGCCAGCTTCTCCTGGCCGCCATCGACTCCGTCGACCACGCCTCCAAGACCGGCGGCTACATCGTCTACTCCACCTGCAGTGTCACCGTCGAAGAGAACGAAGCCGTGGTGCAGTACGTCCTGCGCAAGCGCCCCAACGTCAAGCTCGTCGACACCGGCCTCGGCGACTTCGGTAGCCCCGGTATGACCAGCTACATGGGCAAGCACTTCGACCCCAAGATGACCCTCACGAGACGCTACTTCCCCCACCGCGAGAACGTCGACGGTTTCTTCGTCTGCAAGCTCAAGAAGACCGCCGCCTCCCCTACCCCCAAGCCTGGCGATGCCGCCGCCGCCGCTACTTCTACCGACGGCACCTCCGCCAAGAAGTCCAAGACCCCCTCCGTCGCCTCCACCACCACCGATGACGACGAACCCATCGACAAGACCCCCATCACCGACGAAGACGGCATGGTCATCGAAACCGAAGGTGGCAGCTTCGGTCCCTTCGAAGAGGACGAGGAAGACGCTGCCCGTATCGCTCGCGCCGAGCGCAACCGTCTCCGCCGTAAGGGTCTGAACCCCAAGGCTGTTCTGAACAAGCCCGCCAAGTCCAAGTCCAAGGACGACTCCTCCGACTCTCCCGCTGCCGAGAAGAAGAAGACCGAGGAAAAGAAGGAGAAGGAGACCCCTAAGAAGGAATCAAAGGTAGAGAAGCCCGCCAAAACCAAGACAGACACAGAACCCTCCACCACGACAAAGAAGCAGCAACAAAAACCCACCACCACCACCACCGCGCAAGAACCTACAGAGAAGAAGACGAAGAAGACCGCCAAGAAGACAAGCAAGAAATGAGTTAACCAAAATATGTAACCCATTTTCTGCTCTCTTTACTTTCCCCTTTCTGTAATCTAACTCATGAGGTGATTGTTGTGGTTGTTGTTGTTCTGACATAAAAAGCATTTATTTGTCTTGTCTCGTTGGTTTGTATGGGCGGCGCATGCATATGTTTTTCTATATTATTCTTTTCTTTATTTTTTTGGTATGATGATGATGATGGTGGTAGATAGGATAGATCAATAGCTTCCGTTCTACTTGGGCTGGGTGAGTGAGTTGAGTTGAGTCGAGTCGAGTCAATAGATACCATTATTTTCTTCTTTTATTTTTGTTCATTCATAGTTGCTTAGTAGGATTGGGTTTGTAGTATGGTTTGGGTAGTGTAGATGGGTGGTAAGTAGGTAGGGATTACTAGGTTGGGGATGATGCCCTACTAGTAGCCGAGTTATCGCTTTGATTATGTTGCTTTGTCTACAATATGTTTACTGTGGGCCAGTAAGGTTGAACTGTATATTCTTCATATTGCTTAACTTCATGAAATTAAAAACAGATAGTATAATCAATCAAGTCTAAACTCCAAATCTGCAGACAACATCGTGTCTATATCAACCAAACCAATCACTCCGGTCTTTGCAACATCCTGGGTATGATGAATTCTTCAATGCAATATTAACTGAAACCAAATGGGGGGGGGGGGGGGGGGGGGGGGGTCACGCATTTTTATTTCCCCGTTTGCCCTGCAACGAAGTTGGGTTGAGGGCACTATGTGCGGTAGATCTTAACCACACTGATGATGTTCTTCCGGCAGATGGGACAGAGATCGACCTGGCGAGCGCAGGTCACGCAGGCACAAACATGCCCACAGTCATAGAACAAGGCGTCTTGCTCCTCTCCGTAACAGATCTGACACAGATCCATTTCTTCATCGGCTACCTCCCAGTAGCTGATGCCCTTGCCGTGGCGTTTGCCGTCCTTGTACCCGCCGACATACTTGTTGCCTGTCTTGCGCTCGACGTACGTGCCTTGTCCGTGACAAATGCCATCGAACCAGTCACCGTCGTACGTGTCCCCGGTTGGGTACTCCATGAAGCCGGTTCCATGGCGCTTGCCTAGCACGAAATCTCCGACATAGGTTGCGGCAAGGTCAGAGATGTGCTTGCCCTTGCCGTGGAAGTGACCCTTGTTGAACTCCCCACTGTAGTAATCGTTCGTGAACGATGCATCAATGGTCTTGAAGCCGGTGAAGGCACGCGTGGGGTGGTTGCGAGAATCAGCCCACAGATAGCGGACTAGCTGATCGGGATTGCCAAAGAGACCGGCCACGTTGAGCTGCAATCGTCTATAGAGGTAGGGGTCAGTCTGGGGAGAGCAATCACACGAAGATAGGTTAGGCTTACCTGTCTTTGTTCAACTTGTCACCCACAATAAAGCAGGTACCATCGGGAACATACACCTCGAATGTCTCGCCCGAAGCCATGGTAGTCACGGTGGTTCCATCCACACGTTGCCAGATCTGGAAATCCTTCATTGGCGGGATCTTGAGATGTCTCCGGACGGCATTCTTGATGTTCTCTTCCTTCTTCGAGAAGAAGGATCCCACTGTGCGCAAGGCCTGCGCTTCCACATCGAACCTTTGGATGAAGTAGTACACGTGGTCTACTGGCTGGGGGACCTCCGGCTCGATTGACGGAGCAGGAATATCCGCAGCTGTGCTAGCCTGAGTCTCAGGCTCAGCTGGTACCGCTTGACTGGGCTCCTGAGTGACCGGGGGAGCTGCATCAGGGACTCGGTCGGTATCCATCTGCTGGAGATCTTCCGCGATAATGGCAGCAATCACTGCATCGTTCTCGGAGTCTCCAGTAGTAGGCGCACCCGTGCCGCTCGAGTCCGTAGGCACAGGATCCTGAGGGACAATTTCGATGTGTGAAACATTCACAGCGTTGGTGATTGTCGCACCCCCAGTTGCACTGATGCTGTTCTCCGGTACAGTTCCCGATGAGCTCGCGCGGGCAGCTTCACCTTCGGGAAGAGGCAATCTATCTTCCGAGGATTCTGAACCGGCGCGTTCAACCACAGCTTCCTCAGGCTTGGCCTGAATCGAAATCGCCTGTGGTGGATCCGCTATGGCGAAAAACTTGGCGTTCTCTGCTGTGCATTAATATCTTGTATAATACGCGGAGGAAAAGGGACATACCATCAGAGACGACCTGCATCCAGAAACGGACCGTCTTCAGCGGAAAGTCTAAGGTGCTCGTCAGGTCGGAGATACGAGCAAATGCAAGGGTAGGCCCGAACTGGTCACGAGTGTGACCGATCTGCCACAGCCGGACATGCTCGGCGCAAGTGCTCTCGCTAGACTTGGCAGATGCCCACAGGGCAATCTTTTTTCGGAGATCAACATAGTTGGACGAGCGGGGCACAGTCAGATACATGACACCGTTTTCCAACTTGGCCTGTGACATCAAATCATACGTATCGAACAAGCTGCCCAATTGATCGTACTTCGGCAGCGAGTAGACCTCCACGTTGATCTCATCCTTGTCGCACTTGTCATCCAATTGCACCGGAGGGATACCCGTTTCATAGTACTCTTTCAGACTCGCGGGCACGTCCCATGGACCTTGCGGGCCAGGCAGGAACTCCTGGACGACATCACTGCGGATGTACATCACGGCAATGGCAACATCATGGCCGGTCTTGTGGTCCACCTTCTGGGAAGCGTCCAGACCGAGGTGAGGGCCCAAGGCGGTCTTCCGAGTCAGGCATTCGACACGGTTATCACTGCCATCATCGAAAGCGAGCCATCTGGTTCCGGGGCCTCCCGGTCGCAGAATACTGAAGAATTTGCCAGACGTACGCCGACCACGGTGAACGATGTAGCCGTAGAGGACGTATTTGCCTTCCTGGCCATCCAGCAGCCATGGCGTCAAGTCCAGCTCCTCATCCAGATCGACTCGGTTGTAGAGCAGTCGCCATTGCCGAGCAGCCTTGTCCAGCTTCTGACGACCCAACTCCAAGTGAAGCACCGGTGGAAGTACCCAGCGTCCCGGCTTGGCACTCAAGTACCAACTGAAAGCTTCAGTGGTGGTCTTGGCTTGATCAGCTGGCACACAGATTCGGGAGTTGAAGTCCTTCGGGACAGTATTGATCACATCCTGAGTCTGCGCTTCGCTGGGAAGCGACTCAATTGACGGGCTGTCGAACAGCCTGGCCAATTCTTGCACCGCGTCTGTGCCTGCCAGTTCGATTTCGAGCGTGCGGCGCAAACGTTCCCAGAACTCGCACACATCGCCGGAGTATTCGTGCAGGTTACGCAAGGTCGAGGTGATCATGTCCGTATCCACATACTGCAGCGATTGGCCCCGGGAGCGCAGCTGCCACAGGAACTTTTGCAGTGCATCACAGAGTGGCTTCGGCTTGACATCGCAGCTAGTCAGATGCTCCAGGACATTGGCCTTCTGGATGATCTTGCAGAAGGGCGCCATATGTACCCAGGTGGCCAACCCAGCCACCTCGGCACTGTGGTTGATGACGGAGTCACCCAACGGCCGATAGCCTGTGAGACTCAGGCTGTCCCACGTCGGCTCGGTGTCACTGGCATGCCACCAGAGGGAGCGAGTGGGGTCGTCGACAATGCGGATATACGCATCGAACGCCAGGGTATCGTTGCGGAGAAGCGCCTGACGCTGGCCTCGCTGACGGCGGTGGATCTGGTCCCAGGGACCATGGAAGTTTGTCCAGCCCCAGTCCAGGTTGTGGGGGTTGAACTGATGGCACGAGGACTGCATCCAGCCTGTCCGCGGCTCCTCGGGGTTATACAAAATGACGCCAATTTGAGCCGACACCCGCCAGGACTTGGTGCCGGTCGATTCTGCCTGTTGAGCGGCAGCGGGGTACTGGGCCTTGAAAGCCTCCAACCAGCTTGCGGAATCATTGGTCTGAGCGAACTTCATGTCAACGTCCGGTGCATTGACATCCAGGGCTGCATCAGCCGGGCCGTGCATCACCTTGAATTCGGTCTCGGGCAGATGCTTATCGGGCGGGGGCATGGTCGGAGAGCACTCGATGTAGATACTGAGGGAATTGACATTGTTCCCCCGAGGGAAGAACTTGATGGTCCACCAATAACCACCCATGTACGCGGGCGGAGAACGCATGATCTTGACGCGGTTGGGGGCGTCTGGGGTGCCTCGCACGCCCTTGATCTTCCATGTCATGCGGGCCCTCTCCGCCGGGAGGTATTCGGGGTCGTCCAGATCGGGATGGAAGTTCTTCTCCCAGTAGTCATCTGATTTTGTCAGCTATCATAGTTCTTTAAAACAGCTCTGCCGGAACTGCTTGTGTGAGCTTACACTCGTAGGCGCTGTAGTCGCCATCTGCCGCCGATTCAATTTCTTTCATTTCAGCCTCATCGGGAACCGATAGATCCTCCTCGATATCGGCCCAGTAGGCATGTTCCAGCTCCGGTTGGGGGGGCTGAATTACCGGAACGGGGTCTGCTTGCACCGGAGGCGGGATATCGACTCGAGGTGCCTCATCCTGAATCTCGACTGAGGGTGAATCCGATGAGGGGGGTTCTAAAGGAATGCTTGTTGTGATGGGGTTTGTGACAGGGACTGTAGAGTCATCTGTAGCCGCCTCGATGGTGACGGTGGTTTCCCGAACCGACTCAGGGGGTACTTGAGCGCTGAGTGTGATGGGTGGTTGTTGTTGTTGTTGCTGCTGTTGCTGCTGCTCCACATTGGAGCCAGGATTCGGAGATGCATCCATTGTGGTGGGTAGAAAGAAAGAAGACAGACAGACAACGAAGACGACTGAACTCAGCAGAGGACACAACAGTCACAGTTCAGATGAAAAGAGAGGGCAGTTGCAAAGCAGCAGCAAATAAGCCGACTAACCGGTAGGCTGACAGAGCCGCAGGTGAGAGAGCAAAAAGAAGTGAGCAACACGAGTAGCCTTGACAGCCAGGCTCTGGATGCAAGTGAGACTGATCTAGGCAAAACCACACATTCAGATGCTGCTGTGGAGGGGAAAAGAAGAAGAAGAAGAAGAAGAAGAAAAGAGAGAGAGATGAGATTCTCCTCACAATCACTGGCAGCAAGGGAGGGTGGGGATGGAGGGGAAGCAAGAACCCAAGGTGACAGAAGAGAAATCAAAAATAAGACAGATCACACCAGAAGAGCAATAGCGAGCAATGACAAGCCAGTAAAAGCACGACAGCCTAACGAACAACTTGGGTTAACCAACGAAGCAATGAAAGTCTAGAAGGTCGGGCGATAAGAATAGACAACTGGGCTTATCAGCACCAGTAGAACGAGTCTAGTACTTTAGTGAGGGAAACTGGGGTAACCCTAAGCCCAGAGCGGTAAACCCAAGGAACAATCGGCGAGGGTGTATCGAAGGGGGTCTAGAATATATATATAGATCGGGCGGGAAGTGGGAGTAATAGAGAGGATGGAGATAAGGAAAAAGAGAGAAGTTGAGATGAGAAAGGAAGAAAAAAGAGATGGAGAGGGGAAGAAAGAAATGAAAGACACTTCCTCGAAACGAAAGAAGAAAAGCAAAAAATATTGAGAGAAAATAAGAAAGAAGAATAAATTGGGATTGGAAAAAAGAAAGGAAAGCAGCATAGAAATGGGGGAGAAAAAGAAAAAGGATGAGGCGGCAATGCAGGCAGGACCAGATCACGGATCCTCACCGCTGGTTGGCATCCAATAATCCTCTGGCAGCTGCTGCTTGAGGGTCCGCAACCTGGACGCGGACTGGCCCAACTGGTCCCCTTCAAGTCTTGCCTTCGACTTGACCCCCTGCAATCCACCCCCGATGGAACTGGAACTGGAACTGGAACTTCTTTCTCGATTGCCACCCGGGTCCCATTTTCGGATCCCGTCAGGTGGTGGTGGCCGTCGTCGTTCCAACTGCCCCCTTGAGTATCTCTCAACGGATAAAAGAATTCGGGATGGGAGAAATAAATCAATTTACTCCATACCCAAGGAAAATGATATGATACGGGCCTGCGATTCGATCGAGTGACCGGACGGATCGACTGCGCGGGGCGTCGCATCCCTGCAGCCCAGAGAAAGACAGGAACTGACCTGTCATTAGTTCGCTTCGGAGCTCGTAATCTCATTAATCATTTGTATCACTCTATATCCATTATCCAAACACAAGACAAAAATCTAATCATCTATACCATACCTCCATACCAATCCCTCCCTCCCCTTCATGTCAATATTATCTTCCCAAGACAAAAGTCAATCAGGGCATTCCATTTGTTGCATGGATCCCCACCAATAAGTGGGTGGCAAGTCAAGTCGGAAGGATGAAACTTTATTGCCATGAAAACCCCGTGCCGACCGCAATGATCGACCGGTGGAACGACCCCCGGCAATCCAAGTCCATCTCAACTCTCTCCTTCCCCATGATTTGCCATCCACCATTGTTCGTCCTTCCAAACTTTGCCTCCGCCGAGGTTCCAAAGCCTGTGGATTCCGGACTTCCGGCTCTTCAAGGGGGGCGGGCGGCTGCTCTTCTCCGTGCAGAATTCATCCTAGGGGGTGGCCCCTCTTGCGTGCTTTGTTTTGTCCTGTTCCTTTTTTTCCTTTGCTTTTCTTTTTTGATCGGAACCAAGCCTCCGATTTGCCTCCTAACTCGAGGGGGATGATGTGGGGCGCCTTTCGCGTGCCTGCCACGCCGGGGCCCAGCCCCTGTCGCTGCCCCTCTGTCAACCAAACGGCCCGAGCTGTCGTGGAAGGGGGGGGGGGGGGGGAAGCTCTCACGGTCGATAGACACAGCAGGCCTAGGACCAGTAATCAATTTCTTTTATCTTATCGAGTTTATAGGAGGCATGGCGAGAGATAGAGGGGTTGGCGTTTGACAGATAGCAGGAAGTACCCCCTATCGGAGTGATGTCCCTCAAACTCGCACTCAGTTCTGAGACGTTTCACCGTTGGGGGTCGCCGGACTGGCTCGGGCAAACGAGGCCGCAACAATGAGCGGGAAGACCACTGTGGCTTCTGCATAGACCTTGACGGCCTTGGCGTCGGCTTTGATCTTACCCCAGCTGACGGCCTCATCCGGTCGGGCCCCCGCATCGCTGCCGTCAAACTCCTGTCCCGTATTGATGTACACGGCATGCTCGGCCCCGTTGCGCATCAGACAGGCGTTGGCAATGTGATGTTTGATGACTCCGCCACCCAGAATGATCATGCCGGCCCGCGCGGCCCGGACAGCCATGGTGTTGATGCGGCGCACATCGTCCACAATGTCGACCCGCAGCCGTTGCGGAGAGGAGCGGTAGGTATGGAAGTAAAGCATATCGCCCAGGGAGCCGTCGGTGAGCGCGGGACAGAAGATCGGGATGTTGTTGCGAGCAGCCCAGTACAGAACCGAGTCCTCATGCTTGATCTCGCGGCCGAGGCGTTCAATAATCTTGCTGGGGGTCCAATGCAATTCGTCCTCCTCATCGCCAGTTTCCAGTGCCTTCTTCTTGGCGGCTTCCTGTTCCTCCAGCATCTTATCCAGAATAGGGATCAACCAGTCTTCAAATGCACAGTAGTTGCTGTTCGGGACGATGAGGTTGCCGATCCGGTTCAATCCTTTGGCCCGCAGTCCAGCGCCCGGGGCAGTAAACGAGCCCATGTAGGTGGGAGCCAGGCATTTGATAAGATCTTCCTCGACACCGCCGGCCGTGGTGACAATAGCGGAGACGTGACGGTTGCGGACCAGGTAGCGGATGGTGTCTCGAAGGCCGGAGGAGATCAGGTTGGAGGTGTATCCGAGAAAGATGGTGGTCTTCTCGCCGGTCTCCGGATGACGGTAGGCTTGCTATGTAGAGGTGTCACGGAAATTAGCTACGCTGCTAGGTCACTCAATGGCCGGGAAGAAGACAGGATGCGAACCATCTCGTTGACGATGCGGGCGGCTTCAGCGACCGCACTGCCCTGGAAGCCAGTGTATTTCATGTTGTCCACCATCTCGGCGACCGTAATATCCCGGCCTTGGAATCGGTCAAAGTCGACGCCGCTGACCTGCTGCGTCCCCTCAGGCACGGGCTCCGAGGCCACCAACACGGCATCGGTGACCGCAGAGGGAGGGGCATTGCCCGCGGCGGAGTCTTGTGCGGACATGGCTGTCGAGCGAAAAGGAGATATAAATCAGAATGCCGAAGTAATCAATAGCCTGAAGATATCCCGAGTGTGTATCAGTTAAGCGGGGACCAAAATGATATAGGCGAGGAGTAAACCCGGGGGCACTCAAATGCGGGATGAATTGGATGATGATCCCCTCCGTCTCTTCTGGAAATTTTTCTGCAGGCGGCGGGATTGGCGGGGGTGTGACAGCCCGTTCGTGACACCCGCCGTCTGTGTGCCTCAGGCATGCAGGCAGGAAGGCAGACAGGGAGTAAGCTAGACCGAGCCATCGCCGGGAAATGCCCAGCGATCCTCCGGACACAAACTCGACCCCTTCAACCTAGTTCAGTACTGCCTGAGGCAGATAACATATGTTAGTCATCATCGATGGGGCCTTCCCGACAGGGCAAGAGATCCTCGCCTGAGGCATGCACGCCGGGGGAGGCGATCCAGAGTTATTTTTGAGTTCCCTTTAACTAGTCACACTAAGACCAGTCAGTCGTGGCCGAGGGAAAGTCCCTGGCCAACTAAACTCAGCCCATCCAACCATCCAACCGCTGCCCTTCACCAGGGATCCATCCATCGTCTCTGCCCCATTTCTCGTTCCTCCGTTTTTGTCTTTCAAGATCCTCTCTGCCTTCAAACCACCACTAAACTAACTTACTCACTCCCCCTCTCCCCCATTCTTCTCTTTCTCACCTTCAAATCGAACATCTCCTCCCCCCCCTTCATCAGTTCACGCGCACATCATATACACACACTCACTCATTTTCCTTCATCTCGACTCTCCTTGTATTATTCGATTCAACAACTCGCGTCCCTACTTTATTACCTCCTCAGGCTGGTCCTCGACGTTTTTATTCGGCTCCGACTTCCGAGACACAGCAACGAACGGGTCTCGAATAATCCCAGAGGCAGACTTTCCCGTAACTGCTTGCAATTTGCGATTTTGCTGCCCGGCGTGGTCTCCTTGCAGGTCTACTTTGGGTTAACGGCTTGACACGTTGCATAGGCTCCCAGGTGCGGAGATTTCTCCTTTAATTTTGCTATTTTACGCGCGCTTTCCAGTTTGATGCCCAGTTTTGGTTTTTACGCCTGTCATTACTGCCCTCCCTCTCCTTTTTTGTTTGGCGTTGGTCGTGGGCTGGGCTGGGCTAGTCGTCCGTGGGTGCAGGATCGTGCTTCACTTTTTGTCACCAGTCACTTTGTCCCGGAGACACGGGATCGGCCAGCATCGAACTTTCGGCACGCCTCCTTGAATCCCCCATTCCAAACCGAAAATGTCAAACCCCAGGAGAAAGGGCCATGCTCCTCCCTTTTTTCTTCTGGCGGACTGGGGTCGAATCCACCATGATCATGAACAGGTTCTGATCCTGTGACTTTCCTCGGACGATCGATCCACCTTGAAAAAAGCTCCCACAGGCGCTGGCAGTTCCGGGTGAAACAGGCCGCGCCAAGTGGCTGGCGCTAAGGTGATGGAATCCCGTCAATCATGGCTGCAATCTTGCTTCAGTGCCAAATTGGGATCCGCAGTCCGATTTGGGCGCCACTCATTGGCTGCTTAGCTAAGCTGGCCTGCCTGGCTGCCTGGCCCGTGCCCCTTCCATGCTTCCCTGCCGTCACGTGCTCTCCACTCCCCGTTCGCCGCCTTAGGCGCTTGTGACTGGCGCTGCTGCTGCGGCCAGCGGCTGTCTCGTCTCGTCTCGTCTTGCCTCTGCTGGGACCGTTCCGTCCCTTTGCTGGCCATTCTTCCCTACCTACCAGTCATTGCGCTCATTGTGTGACCCTTCCCTTGGTTTTTTCTTTTCTTTTTTCTTCTGTGTTTTTTTTTCTTTTTCTATATTTATTATATTCAACATCTACTTACCATTCACATCACCATCACGATCTTATCTCAAATTACCTTGCAACTAACCTGTGGCAGGCTCTCCTGCCAGGCTACTTTAGCTCACGCTCACTAGCATGACCTGGTGATGTCGTCCAGATACCCTCCATTGTCTGGGTTCAATTCCCGTGATCGTTCGCCCCAACGCTTCGGTGATCGTCGACCCCCTGTTGGCCCCCGTGGCACGGATGATGCGAATTTACCCCCGCTGGGCAGAGAACCCCCCCGGGGTCCCAAAGCCTTGATCGATCCCCCGCGAGGAGCCCCATTCGGTGGGCGTGGCAGAGGTTATCCGGGCCGTGGAGATTTTCGGGACCGGGACCGCGACGTACGAGATCGAGATCGCGACCGTGATCGCGACTTTCGAGATATTCGGGATGGACCGCCACCCTTTCGCCGAGATCTCGACCGGGACCGAGACTGGGGCCGCCGTGACCGCGACTTCGATCCCCGTGAATCGCGTATCGGCTTTGGCCGTGGCCGCTCGCGCTCCCCGCCGCCTCCCCGCGACTTTCGCGATATGAGAGAACCCCTCGGACGAGATGCAGACATGATTCGAATGCGACGGGGCTCCCGAGACAGCATGATATCGGTTTCATCCGCAGTGCCGGATGTCCCGTCCGGTGGCGGTCATCACCCCCGCAGTGGCCCGCCCATGCGTGGACGGGGCCGAGGTGAATGGGACTCGGGACGTGGTCGTGGTCGAATGCCGTACCTGGACGATCGAGACTCCTTCAGACGTCGAAGTCGGTCACGAGACGCCCGCTGGGACCGGGAGCGCGAGCGCGAGAGGGACCGCGACCGGGAAAGGGATCGGGAGCGTGAACGAGACCGGATTTTAGATCGCGAGCGGGACCGTGATCGTGATCGGGACCGCGACCGGGTCATCCTCGATCGTGATCGCGATCCTGAGCGGCGCGAGCGCGACAGGGAACGGGAGCTCGAACGACGGGAAAGGTTCGAACGGCGGGAGGAGGTGGACCGTCGGGTTGAACGCGATGAACGTGACCGACCCGGCGACCATTGGAAGCGCGATCGTCCTCCCAGTCGCGCCGAGAATCGAATTCCGAGCAGCTCAACAGTGTCGTCGGTGACTGGGCCAACTGTCCTCCCGGTTCCCGGTCTGCCTGAACGGCTTCCAGACCATCCACCCGCAGAGCCCCCTCGTAAGCCCTCGGGAGGAGAGGCACGTCGGGATTCGCAACGCATGGACCGCATTGAACGTATTGAACGCATCGAGCGCATCGAACCACCGGCGCCTCTCCCGGAGCAGCCAGCGAAGGACTTGGTTCCTCCTCCCGTGAAACGATCCCCGCCCCCCGCTGCTCCCCAGGTGCCCGCATTCGGTTCTGTCACCGCGCCCCTTCCCGAAATTTCAGCCGAGAAACCTGAGAAGCCGGAGAAGCAGGACAAGCCGGAGAAGCCAGAGAAGCTAGAAAAGCTTGAGAAGCCTGGCAAGGTCGAGATATCCGAAAGACTGGAGAAGCCCCCGGTAGATTCGACATCAACAGCCACCGCAGCTACGAAATCGGAGAAGGAACGGCATGAGCTTCCGCCAAAAGCCCCAATGCATCCACCGACCGTGCCCAAAGCGGAGCGAGGTCCTCCCCAACAGCCGCTGGAGCAAAGGGTTCGACGTGATGATACGCGCCGTGAAGAAACGCCTGATATCCCGCCGAAGTCTGAGCCGGCTACCCGTCCCCCGAAGCCGCATGTCCCAGCAGCAGCCGGCGGGCCGAAACCGACAGATATCTCACCTCCTACTGCTCCCGCGGCGATGGTCCAGAAAGATGCACCAGGCGCTCACGAAACACCGTCTCCAAGAAAGCTAGGGCCCACAATAACCTCCCCAGAACTTGGACGGAGGCCATCGGCCGCAGGGTCAGCCACTTCCCCGGGTCCGCACACTTCACCTCGGATGCCTACATCGAGTATTCCTACCGGACCCCGTGCGCTTCAGCAACGCCCGTCAATCTCTCGTGGCTCTTCGAAAGCTATGAAACAATGGGTGCGTGCGGGATTCCCCAGCGCACCCTCTGGTCCAAGTGCTGCACCATCATCAAAGCGCGATTCCATCGATGGAAAAGAGCGAAGTCTATCACTTAGTGAAGATCACAAGCTCGAGTCGCACAGCCAGGCCGATGAGTCTGCCAACGGACTCGAGGCGGGTGAGATTGTCGGCGAAGATGAACCGGTAGAATCAAAGCCTCAAAAACCCGCGGTGTCGTTTGAGTCGGCCATGGACGTGGATATGCCCGAAATTGTCGCGAAAACGCCAGCTGCCGAAGAGAAGCCTGCGGAAAAGGAAGTGCCCAAGGAGGCGCCCAGTGAGGCACCTAAGGAGGCACCGAAGGAAGAACCTGAAGAAGCATTGAAGGAAGCACCCAAAGAGACACCAAAGGACCAGAGCACCGTCGTCATACCGGATTTTGGACGTTCAAGCGATGAAGAAGAGGACGAGAATGTTGTGTTTACACAAGACTATCTAGAAGAACGGAAGCAGATTTTCGAAAAGGATATGAATGCTCTCCGTGCCGAGCTGCCGCCCCCACCATTGGAAGACCCCAATATCGTGGCGCTACTTATGCGCATCCAGTATTTGGGGATGATTGCCCATGACCAGGTTCCTGAAAAGGCATCCACACCTCCAGTGTTAGCTAAGGATACCAAGATAGCCAAGGAGGAACCATCGGCACCCGAGATGGAAAGTGAGCCGAATGGCAAGGCTGAAGAACACGAGCCACCAGCAAAGGTGATTTTGGATTCTGTTCCTGCGGCCGATGCACTTACTCTCGAGAGTCTGCCGTTTTTGAACTCTGGCCCACCGACACCGTTATCGGACTTGGAGGTTTACCAGGAGAATGCGGCCACTCATGAACGTCTGAAAGACACCTTCCGCGACATCATCATGAAACGTCGCAAGGACGTGGCGCGGAAGAATGCCGAGTTGCGATTGGATTACCTTTCCTACTACAAGCCTTGGAGGCTGAATGTGTGGGAGTTGGACCATGCGAAGGAAAAGACTTCGGGTAGTCCCGGGCCCACTACACCACCTGCTGCCCCAGCCACGGCGACGCCTACACCTACGGTGGAAAGCGGAAGACGGTACAAGGGCAATAGCGAACTGGACTTCCAAAATGCCCTGCGCGCCTCTGAGATTTCTGCCCAAGAAGAACTGGAGAGGCGTCGCGGCAACAAGGCTACTGCGCAGCCTGACCTCGCCCGCGAGGCTGTGATTCCTGAGATGCTTGAGCCCCCAGAGGTGAAGGCAGGCATCTACAAAGACACCAATAACATCATTGACCCAGATCAGGCCATGGATGTCTTTGGGTTCCTACCACCTCGGAATGATTTCAGCCAAGAAGAGCACGAGATCTTTACCGACGCGTTCATGGCACATCCGAAGAAATGGGGCAAGATTGCAGAATCGCTTCCAGGACGGGACTTCCAGCAGTGTATCATTCACTACTACTTGACCAAAGAAGAGATCAAGTACAAGGCCAAACTCAACAAACGGTGGAGCCGTCGTGGGCGTGCCCGGCGATCTGCTCGACCCAAGTCCAATGCGCTTATGGCTGACCTGGGTGTTGTCAAACCGGACTATGAAGGCGAAGAGGAGCCCGCTCCAGTCACCGATACGGGCCGTCCTCGACGTGCCGCTGCCCCAACGTTCGGAGACTCGTCTGCCGATACGGACAACAACGGCCGCCGTGGGAATGCCTCCAAGGATGGTGAGCAAGCAGAGAAGCCCAGTCGACGTGGACCTCGAAGCGGTACAGGCACGCGAGGTGGCCGACGAGGGAAGGCTGCCCAACAGCAAGCGCAGCAACAGCAGCAGCAACAACAGCAACAACAATTGCAGCAGCAGCAGCAGCAGCAGCAGCAACAGCAGCAACAGCAAACACCACAACCTACCCCCTCGGAGCAATCTCTCCAGAGCACGCCTGTTCCAGTGGCTGCCGCTGCCGTCACTCCTGCACCAAAGGTGGAGACTACGGAGCCATCCATGGATGGAGCTACTGAAGCCCCGATCGTGCGGCCCAAGGAGCCGCAAGAGCGAGAGGTAAACGATGTGCCACCGCGCGCCAGGTCTGGTAGGGGACGTCCGAAGGAGGGCGTGTATGTCTTCGAATCCACTGAACAGGAGGCTCCAGCACCTGCCCGGCAGCCCGAGGTAGGCGGCTACGGGTCTCTACAGCCGACGAGTTACTGGTCGGTGCCTGAACAGCGCGATTTTCCTTTGCTGCTGGCGCACTTTGGTCGTGACTTTGAGGGTATATCCAACTTCATGAAGACGAAAACCACAGTCATGGTATGTTCTTCCCCTTGCTCACGCCCACACCTTCCTGAATCATCTAGGCTATCAGCAACTAACTTTCAAGTAGGTTAAGAATTACTTTCAGCGCCGCATTGACTCGGGCCAGAAAGATTTCGAAGATATCGTTGCCGATGCAGAGGGCAAGAAAGCTCGTGGTGAGCCTACAGGTCCATTGCCCGTTCCTAACTTCGCCTCTAAGCGGCGTTATGAAGCTACACCATCTTCTATCATCATGCCTCGGCCTCTCGCCCCGCATACTGATACCGCGCCGGATACAGATGATAGCCGGTTGGGATCCAAGGGCAAACCCGCCAGTTCAACCCCCCAGCAGGCGCCTCTGCAGGCTCGCGCAGGCCAAGAGAAAGAGCGAAATGTCTCTAGATACCCACCGCTTGCGCAAGCCGCTAGTGCTCCAATGGCAAGCGGCCCCATGCTTAGTGAGGATTCTGCTCGGGTCATGAGCTCTCAGGCACCTTTGCCATCGCGAATGCAGGGACCCCGAATGGGGTATTTTGCCGAAGAACGACGAGAAGTCCCAGCAACGGTGCTGTCGCACACAGCTGCCACACGGCCCCAGGAAGCCCCCATGTCCGTGCGACAAACTCCGGTATCCGCATCCGAGATGGCGCGGCTGGAACCTCTCCATGGCCAAGGGTTCCGACCCGCCAGCGTGGACGTGCACCGGTCACCATTGCTTCCGGCACAATCGGCGTTGCCAGGCTCGCAGCAGGCATATCTCCAACCTCAACATCAACCTTCCTTGATGCCTACAGGATCCCACTCCCGTCAGCACAGCCTCACGAAAACGCCCAGCTCCCCGGCGCAACCGCTGCAGCGGCCGGAGCCGGAGATATCGCCTGTTCGACGTGATTCTATGTCGCAGCGGCCTTATTTCGCAATGCCAGGGCATGTTGGCATTCCTCAGTCCACCCCAATCTTGTCGCCACCCAAGGAGCTGTCTCGACCTGGACCGCCTCCTGCGGAGCCGCCTGAGGCCCCTCGCGTGCCGGCGAAGCGGTCGAACATCATGAGCATCTTGAATGACGAGCCGGAAGAACCCCAGCCGCGCAAACGATTCGCTGGCGACCCGTCGTCTTCGACACCCGCAGGGCATACGGGGTCACCTTCTCGGCCTGTCTACGGTGGGATGCAGTCACTCCCGCAACAGCCACCGCCACGTCAAGAGGAGACTGTTATGTCATCCCAGCAGAGAGCCCCAGCCTACGGTCCTCCAAGCCAGTATTTGCCGCCATCACGCGCCTACACAGACTACCAGTCCTACAGTTCTGTTCCAGGAGGCTCCGCAGCGCCTGCGAACAACGATTGGATGGCCCGGTTTGACCCTCGCGGACAGCCACCCCCACAACCACCGCAGGCTCCGTCGCAATCGAGTAGCCGTCCTACCACCACGCTTGCCTCTCAGCCACCCTACTCCCCCTATACGTCCACCCAATCTTTATCTAATCCTTCCTTGCCGAACCTCACCGCTCCATCTCCTGTCCCAACTCCCGCATCAGTGACTGCGCAGCGCCCAGCGTATCATGGATCCGCATATGCTCCTTCACCGGTGTCTCACGCACAGGCGACTGCGTCGTCCCGCGAACTGGCAGCACAAAGCCAGATGTATCGCCAGAGCATCGGTTCACCCACCCAGCGTACCAGCAGCCTCGCTTATGGTACCCGTCAAGGTCCGCCGACGCCGATACAGTCTCCTGCGAATCTGCTGGGGATGGGATCGCGACAGCCACCAGGCACGGTATCGTACGCCTCGCCCGCGCCAGCCACGCCTGGATCTAGCCATATGTCTGCGCAACAACATGCGGCGCACCAGTCATATCAGCAGCACGTGCAGACCATGGTCAGTGGGGCTCATCAGCAAGCTGCGCACCGCCAGACGCTTGGATTAGCTAGTGGGCCGTACGGTCACAACACTCCACCCCCGCAGGCATCGGTCTCCCGGGCAGCGGGCTTGCCTGGACCGGGGCCGCAGTCGATGTCGATGGGTCGCTCCTACACACCCCCAGCAATCTTGCAGCCCAGTCCTGGCGGAGGACTGAGCTATGCGCCCAGTGGACCTGCGGCCGTTGGGTCGATGCACCCCCTTCAAGCACGACCCGGGGGACCTGGAACGCTTGTGGAGGCGGTGCCGGGAGGTCACCCTACGCCAGGCCACCACCGAGTGTACAGTCAGGGGTCCAATGCCGGGCCATTGCCTGGGCCAATGTCACAGCACCCACCTCGATAGACTTGGAGTGAGAGGTGTTGATAATTTCATCTCTTCATTACATTGTCGCTGCACAGTCACCGCCATCTCTGTCTATACCGTGGGAGTGTGGTGTGTATTATTCTTAGAGCCATCTTTTGTTCTCATTCTTCTTCGATCTTGCACTTTTAATCCTGGTTGGATTGTTCGGCCTGGGCCGTATCTTCTTATGAATAATGTACAGTAGACGATTCGATGGATGGCAATAGTGAAAAGCATGAGACAGCGGGTGAAAGAATTAATTGAAGATATCTTGTAGCTATTCTAGATTGGAATCCGTAGGTCAATGTTGAGATCCAAAGTGGATCCTTGGCGCTGAAACGGCCGCTGGCGCTTGGCTAGTGGGAGCTGACGCACGCCGTGTCGTGGCATGTAGCACCCCATTGTGAAAGACCCAATAAGACGTCTGGAGCGCTGTAAGCGAGGAGATCTAGCGCTGGAACCCAATATGACGCGTGAGCTAAGCTGAAGACTTGCGTAGTATCGAGTCAGCCTTATAGTGTAGATATATTGAGTAGCAATAGGGAGTACTTTGAGTATTAGTAGTATTAATATGTGGAGTATATCCGATCTCATCTTTAGTAGTGTACACCCTATATTTCTCCTCTCTGATCATCCAGAATTCTATTATCATGTTGTCCTCATCATACTACTACTACCCCCATGAACAGAGAATATATTATATCCCTCAATACTACCACCATCAAAACGTCTCCACATCCTGCCTGCAAATTCCAATAACGACTTACCATCCGAAGCAACTTCCCATTACTACCCATCCAGTTTACTACTACAGCCCACTTCCAAATCAATATCAATACCAGTACACACATACACGTTCAAACCATCACAGACCACAGCATACCCATCAACAGCACCACAAAAGCCAACAACACCCACCCCCAACGCAGGAACAAGCAACGCACGAGCTAAAGAATAGACTACACCATCGACGATATCAACATGCGCTTCTGCGGGAGGGACTGAGGAGAAGGTTACATACTCACGATCTGTTGTTTCTTTTGGGTCATAGATACAGGTATAGAGATACTTCGAGTATGGGTGGTGGGGTTATAGGTAAGTTCTTTTTTTTCTTCCTTCTGTGGGAGGAAGGGTCGATTGGGTTTTATGTTTGTGCTTATAGTTTGTTAGGTGGAAGGGGGTATGAGGAGAGAGTGTATTTCTATCCTTCTCATGTTCATGGTGTTGGTACGGGACAGGGGCTGGGAGTGAAGAGGCGGGGGTGATAGTGATAGTAGTAGTGAGTGGGAGGATATGTATAAGGGATCGTTTCTGGATAGGGAATATAAATGTAAACGGAGACGGTTATAGATATATTACCCCATGCTTCCATCATCTTGTCCACACCTAGACACTCCCCTCCACGACACGTATAGGATCAAATCCGTTTGTTCAGGTATACTCATTCTGCATGAATATAGCCCTATCTGAGCCAGCAGGTTATGTATAAGAAGGAACTGATATCTTGGAAGTAAAAAAAGGGGCAACGACCTTCCTATGTCATGGCATGCGTTGCTTCGTGGGTTACGCGGTTTTGAGGGTTTTGAGGGCACTCCGGGCCAGTCAAGTTTATTAACCTCAAACGAGTTATTGTCTAGATCCGCTTGCCCTTCCCGATTGGGGAAGTGAGGGTATAGCCAATGCTCACAAATGAGACGGTGTTGCCTCCAAGTCATTCACCTCTTTGCTTTCCATCTTACATCTCGATAACTAGCCCTCAGTAGTCTATTTTTTCTTCTTCAAAGTATGTCCTCCATCTGCATTTTCACCACCCTCATCCCCTACTTCTCGCCCCCGTTTCTGCCCTCCCTCATGATCACCACCATCCCCATCCGCCATCTCATTCGTCTCTTCCACCACCCTCCCGTCCTTGATTTCATACCCAAACACCTCCTTCCACGACCCATCCATCACCCTCTCATCATCCCCCATCAAATGCACCCCATACGCCTCCTTCATCTGGGCAATACACGTCTGTCTCCTCTCATCAAAGTCGAACATGGGCTCCGGGTACGTTCTTAATCCAGTCTCTTCATCCTTCTCGACCATCCCATCCCCAGTTACCCGACACTCCCACCTCTTCTGGTCCTCTACCGGCGCCTTCCACGGCTCATAAATATACTTCTTATCATAATGTTCCAGCTCCGGAACATAGTGTCTCACGAACAGCCCTTCTGGATCCCACTTCTTCCCGAACGCCACCGGCGAATAGCATCTATAAAACTGCGTAAAGAACGCCGTGCAGGACAGCCACATCCAGTTTCCGACATTAGAGGCTGTTTCATCTATTACTCTATTATTAGCATCAAAGCTATCAAAATCAGAACGGGAAAAGAGGATGGGAGATATACGATCAACCAACCACTCCTCAAATACCTCCGCCCCCCTCTCCCAATGCACATAACATCCCCCTCTGGTCAGGAAACATGCGACACTATGTCTTCCCAGATGATGAATCCACCCCTCATACTTCAGCTGTCTCATTAACGCATCGATCCACGGAAACCCCGTCCGCCCTTCCTTCCACCGTCGGAACCATACCTCCGCTTGCTCATCATCGATCGTATACGTCCTGTCCACTAACCCCGTCTCCTCATCGTGATTAGATTGTAAATGCCACGGAATGAACCGCGCGATCTTGTTCCCGCGTGCTTGCGCATACACGGGTCCCAGAGCTGCTTGCGCAGCGAAGAACATTTCTCGGAAGAGAAGCTGGCCCGGGAGATTAGTAGGGAGGTTTGAAGTTGGCTTGTGGGCTGATTCGCGCTCGTGGAGGGTATCCTGCACGTCGTGCCAGAATTTGCGCACGGAGAGGGAGCCGAAATGCAGATGCGGCGAGAGGAGGGTTGTCGCTTGTGGGTGAAAGGCCGCTGGGGATGTCTTGGGTTTTTCGAATGTCGCGACAAAGTCTTCGTTTTGTTGGAGGTAGGTGCGTAGCATCTCGAGGGCAATGGTTTCGCCGCCGTGGTGGGGGGTTGTTGCTTGGCTGGGATCGATGGAGAGTTCCTCCAGTGTAGGGATAGAGAAGTCGCCGTTGGGACCTGCTATGCTCCTGTATTGAGTATCGTTGTACTTAGTTCGATAAGCAGCATTTAGATCATCTTCCTGATCTGGAACCTCATGCTCAATTCCACTGATAGCCCTCATTTTCTCCTCCCCCACCGGATCAGGTACACTCTCCGGTGCATCAACAGGCCTATCCGGCACCCCATTGTTTATCTGTTCAACAGCCTTCTCGACCTGATGAATACTCATCGTCGGCTCGCCTTTATTGTGTTTCACCACTTCGTCCGAATCAAACAACGTCCGTCCGGGCTTCACTATAACCTCTACTCCTGCCTCCTTCGCTAACTTTATCACTGTCTCATCGCGCTCCCGCGCATACCCATCTGTGTCACTTTCGAATACGAGGTGTGTCGCGCCCCATGCTTTGAATAACTTGGGGAATACTGTTTGAGGTGCTTCACGTATTACCCACAGCTTCTGCTTCGGGTTCAGCTTGCGGTAGGACTGTGACAGGTCGTTCTGGCATTCCAGCAAGAAACGCCATCGGTTTGGACCTACGCGGGCCTGGTATGCGTAGTGCGGGTCCCAGGTGAAGATTGGGATGAATGTCGATGGGTTGAGGGAGAGCGCGGCTTGCAGGGCTGGGTTGTCGTGTAGGCGGAGGTCGGTGCGGTGCCAGAATATCACGGTGGGTGGAGAGGAATGTTGGGGCATGTTGGGCGGATGTAAAACGGTAGGTAGTGATTGAGAGCCAATGGACTAATTGAGTCAATTGGACGTGTTTTAAGGTGGATGTGTAGATGATGTGCAGAATTGAGGGTTGTCGTTGGGAGCTGGAATGTGAGTATGATGTCACTGTATCTGGTTAACTCTGACCCTGAAATCTAGATGCGTGGGATGCAACCATAATGATCTGGGAACCATGGAATGGTGGCTGATATCAGCTACTCGGTAGCGATACCGAATAAGCGGGTAGATTCATCCGAAATAGATATTCCCGGCTGCTGTCATAGTCTGAATGTTGGTAATAGTGCCATTCTGCGCATAAAAGGTGCCTGTGATTGCCCCATTCGGGGACACAGTACCTGCAGATGAAGAGTTGTGATCATCTTCGATTCGAGGAACCGCTGCATTGGAAAGGTTACCAGTTGGCGCGCAATAAACTCGGCAATAATTAACTCACTAGGCTCAATGAACCGAAGAATTTCCTTAGCTACCGCAGCGGCAGCGGCAGCGGCATATTCATGCCATACATCGTTCTTGTGGGAATCGGCGTAATCGCATATTCCTCGGATAACCAGACAGGGAAAATCGTTCATCATGGCTGCAGCTTCCATTTCGAAACAGATGGCTCCACCTTCATGGCTGGCGATCTGGTCTCTGGTTGCCGCGTCTTTTATCACAGAATCACCGGAGAGGATGAGTCCGTAATGTATGACTGGCTTGGTGGGCTCAGAGCGTGGTGGTCTCTGAGTAACCCTGTCTCTACTACATTGATCGCAGGTTGCTGCACCATCAATGTGGTCATATGTCGGCTCGAAGAGAGTATCTAACTCCGGTGGTGGGCGAATAAATGCTCGATGAGCAGACCGCTCCTCTAAGCCAGTGATAGAAGAACTAAGCTGATCTCCCTGAACGAGATGACTAGTCTTCATCTTGGTAATGGCATGTATCCATTCTTCTGGAGGTGGTGGTAGATAACCCGTGCGAACGAATTTACCCTTGTATCGTTTCCCCAGATCATACTGCACTACTCCAGGATGCAGAGCAGTCGGGGTGCCAATTACAACATCTCCCAGACGAACATCAACACCTTGAGTCGGTACGCCACCCCCGATACCAACCAGAAGAAGACGTGATATGTTGGGAAAGTCTATATGTAGCCGAGCAACGGCAACGGCCGTAGAAACCTTACCTCGATATGTAAAGGGCAGTGTTGCAACCACCACATTGTGGTCGCCGAGCTTTCCCCATACGTATCGCACTGGTCGGGATTGTGTTTGCCGGTGTACTTTGTCTAACAGGTACTGAACTGCACAGATTTCGACCTCAAGTGGGCAGAAGATACCGACTGTGTAGTCTTGTGACAGAGCCATTGGGCTGTTGAAGCTCGACGGCAGGCAACAACGGACAGGGGGCACTTTTCTCGCAGCAGTCACAACAATGTCCATTGTTCGTAAGAAAGTCATTTCTGATGAGCAGACAAGGCTCGCAGAACAGGTATCCGGGATCAGCGTCCAGGCGCTAGAAATCGGGCGGTTATTGGCCAGACTAAATGCACTTGCTGAGGGGTAGACATCTACTAGCCTGGCGCTTACAAAACTGCCTCATTATCTCCGCCCGGACATTAGGTGTGCTCACTATTTCCCTTAAGCATCTCGTACCGTTCGGGACTATGGGAGGGGAAGCAATTATCGGACCGGCCCTTTCAGGCCAGTTCTATGCTGGAACCGGAAAGCAGTACAACTTCGGCAGCGTATCGGGAGAGAAGGTCTATATGGGTACCGGTGAGCACAACATATGGAGTCCACCTACCAGAACAGCGGGCTGAGGCCAGACAGGAGGTGTCCAAATAGTCTCGACTTTGCAATTCGCCAAAAGTGCTTGCTTCAACTCCCGGGAAAGGGAGCACGACTCATTCTGCCTTGAAGGCACCCGCGTGCATTTGTTGAAGGACATAGCAGAGTGGATTGATGCGGACCATAACGAGGGTATTTTCTGGTTGAGTGGAATGGTAGGCACTGGAAAGACGACGATTGCTCGCACGGTGGCACGAAATTATGATCAGCAGTCGCGGCTGGCTGCGAGCTTTTTCTTTACAGATGCAAATGGAGATGCCAGTAGTGCAGACTCCTTCGCATCAACAGTTGCTTGTCAGCTGGCTAACTTCGATACAAGCATGAAAAATGCTATTCAGGATGTGTTGGAACGATATCCTCTTTTACCCTATCAAGGGTTGTCGGAACAGTGGACACGGCTTGTGAAGGAGCCACTGATGGCATTCATCCAGAAGCACGATAAGAATCCGATACTTATTGTGGTTGATGGCTTGGATTTGTGCCCGGATAAGAATGATCAACGCTTGATTCTTCGTCTGCTATCTGGCATTACTCGGGCGTGCGAAAACAAAGTGCTTGTCTTTCTGGCGAGTAGACCAGAATCCACCATTCGGTCACAACTTTCCGATATTCAGCATAGAAAGTTGAAAATACAGGATATTGGAGAAATGGTCGTTAACTCAGATATAAGAATCTTCTTGGACCACGAAATTGGCAAGCTCGTGGCCCCGTTCGAAGCAGAGCTTGCATGGGACGGAGGAATCGTGGCGACTCTCGTCTATCTTGGCCAGGGTCTCTTCCTCTGGGCAGCCACTGCTTGTCAATACGTCCGAGGTGCTAAAAACCACCAGATTATCAGGCAGAGACTGAGAGACATAAAGCTAAATAGCCGGGAAAAAGGAAGTCCAACTGCAAAATTGTATCAAATCTATACCAGCGTCTTAGATGGCTCAGTCAACGAAGCATGGACTGAGAAAGAGAAAGCAACCCACTGGAACTCCATTTCGCGTGTATTATGGACTCATGAACACATCTCTGGCCGTCTGCCAAGAAGTGCCTCCAGCAAACTGATACGGGTGGACACTGACTCCATGCTAGAGGACTTGCATTCTATTGTGACGGTTCCAGAGGATGGTGACACACATATAAACTTCCTCCATACTTCCATTGCCGAGTATTTGGATGAGGGTAAACTGGGGCATCCAGACCTTCAATTAACACGGATACAGAGTCATTGCATGCTGGCGGATGCTTGCCTTGACCTCCTGAATGAAGCATGTGGGCAAGATGGTAGCAACCTACGGAATCTTGTTCAGCACAGAGGAGAGCCGAAAACGCATAATATTCCCCAAGAGCTGGAGTATGCGTGCACCCAATGGGTAGAACATCTCTATTTTGGGTGGGAACTTATGTCTCGAAAAACTAAAGCATTTGTGTTTCTCGAAACACACGGGAAGAGCTGGATCCAACTACTTGCCTTGAGCAACAGGTTAGAAACAGTGACTACAATGAGAATTTTGCTTCTTCAGAGAGTTGTGAGTGATAAATTAAGCGGATATCTTAGCCATCGAAATCTATAGCTAATCTTGAATAGGAGGATAATCCAGAAGAGGACAAGCGATTCATTCATGAGTTACTCTCTACTGAATCTATATCCGAGATAACTGCGCAGTGTCAACGACAAGGATAAATTGCAGCACCATATATGTATTGCTTTCAGCACAGTTCTCGTTATGTTTCCGTTTCATTGTATGTGAATAATTGATATTCTCAGCCAGAATACAAAGATCACTATACACGCAGAAAGACTATCTAGTTCTCTTCAACCCAATCCAAAGACGTGCCAATAACAGATACCCGTAGCTTTCCATCCTTCATCGTAGCAATGGCATCTACACCTGGCCTCAAAGTATTCATGATCCCCTCAGTCCGATGAGCAATCATGATAACCGTATGATACTCAAGTTCTTCACGCAGAATATCTCCCACAATGGCCTCCGTCTCACGATCCAGGGACGAACTAGCTTCATCGAGAATAATAATTGGTTTCATCGGCGCAGTCGCCTTCACACGGAGCAGCATCCGACAAAGTGCGAAGAGCTGCATCTGACCGGCGGACAAGGGGAGTATTGCTGACATGGGAAGATTCAGTATAGTGTCAACATCTGTAGAGGCGGCAGTAATCTTGTCCCAAAGGCGAGTTCTCCTCAGTGCTTGTACAATCTCATCACTTGTGCATTTATTATACGGGTCCAGATTGAAGCGGATAGTTGCTGTAGGAATGTTGAAGCCATCTTGTGGTACGGCGATGATGCCGCGTTGTCGGAGGATCTGTAAAGGCACGTGTGCGATGTTGATGTCGTCAATGCTAATGGATCCGTGTTTGGTCTCGAGGAGTCGAAGTAAGGAGAGCATCAGTGTGCTTTTCCCACTACGGTAATCGGTCAGTGTTTGCTCCATGAAGAATTGGGTTGCTGGGTAAACTGTACCTTCCCGTCCGACCCATGACAATGAGTTTCTGTCCCGGATTGACTCGAAATGATACATTGCGCAGAGCGGGCTCTGATTCCTGGGAGTATGAAACCGTGATATTCTCGGTACGTAGGTCTCCCGTCGAAGGCCATCGTGTACCTGGCTCTAGGGCACCTTTAGCAGCATCATCGTTCGATACACATTCCTGCACATCCTTGAGTCGGGCAACGGCGCCAAGGGAGGTCTCCAAAGAAGTCCAGTTCTGGACTAATCGTAATAGCGTAGTATTGGCCCCGATCATCATATTTAAGGCCATTCCGACATCAGCCCCCGTGGAGTTCCGGTACATGACCGTGAGTGTTATCAGACTTATGGCAATGATCGCCATTAAACAGTCCAGCACAATTTTAAGCCAGCACTGCAAGCAGAGAAGCAGGTAGTATGGCTTTTGTGACATGTCCAGTGCCTGGATATTTGCGGTGGCGAATTTGTCCTGCCAACCGAAAGCACGGATCGTGGTAACACCACTGGTCTGGGATATATTAGACATGACTTATCATGGAGGTGTATGAGGAATAGCAAGAGCAGATTGAGCATACTGTATCTAGGAAATTGGTGTTCAGTCGAGACCTTGCCTCCAGGTCCAGAAAGCGCAACTGACGAGAGTTGCGAAGATAGACTTTCTGGATGAGGTAGACCAGTATGTAACATGGTGGTATCGTGGCAAGCATCACCGGCTGTACATACACAATCAAGGCTACCTGCATTAGTAGCTTGGAGATTTCTGGAACAGACCTGGTTAGGACAATGTGAGTGAGAGGGTGGACTGGAAGCTTACGGGTGCTTAGATTGGCGAGAGAGGAGGGTAGTTGCTTATCCACTAACGCTATGTCTTGGGAGAACCTGTTTAAAGTGATGCCGATCTGTGTTTTTGCAAAATAGGACAATGGGGCTCTGGATTAAGGTACCCTGCATTAGCAAAGAGTAGTGTGATGAAAGGGAGGTGAAGGCTGACCCAAGTACCCGCTCAAGCAGCTGAGAATGTAACACTCTTCCCGAGCGAATCGCAACCTTCATCTGCGAGAACCTTCAATGTGTTAGATGTTAGTGAAGCTAAGTCAGTAAACGGGGTAACCAACCACATCGTTCCACTGGTTGCTGCCCACGCAATGAATGAAATCCCGGCATAGAGCCCCATATATCCATTAGGCTCCCCAGACGTAGTCTCTGTTGCCCATCTCAGGACATACTGTGAGAAGGTCAAGCAGAATGAATATGTGGCGGTGCAGACTGTCATCAGAAAGGCATTTTGGTAACCAACAGCATTGAAGTAGTACCCTGTGTATGATTTAGCACGCATTGTACAACTTTGGAGAAAAGAACCTACCATAGAGAGCAATATCGTAAGCATTCCGTGATGAGTCTTCGGCAGCGTTATCGATTCGCTGGTTTTGACCAGGCGCCTTTCTGTCATACAGCTCTGAAGGATGGGTAGTCTGATCGCTTGCAGCGGAGGGAACAAGGCTACCCGGAATTTTTCCCTGATGAACGGTGCTAGGATCCTGGAGGCGTGCCTCCGAGCCTTGAAGAACCAGTAGTCTATTTGCCATGGGGAAGAGCTTCGCTATGACCGCATTAGAAAAATCTGACTGGCTTTAGACAAAAGTAGACTTACGGGTGTTGCTAATGAGCAGAACACCTGTGTTCATTTTCTGGAACAGCCCCCTGGGGCCCAGTAGCCTATCAGAAATCTGCTCTGCGACATTTTCATCCAGGGCACTGAGCGGGTCATCGAGAATTACCACATCATATCGCGAGTATACCGCGCGTGCAAGAGCCTGCGTTGATTAGCGACTTTACAGCAACAACCCCCAATAATAATGAACATACTACGCGCTGACGCTGTCCACCGGATAGGTTAATCCCGTTATTCTCGATAAACGTCGAGTCACCGTTGCGAAGGCTTTCCAAGTCGGGGCTCAAGCAGCATACATGCAGGACCAGCTTGTACCACTCTTGGTCAAAATCAGAGTCACCAATTATCGCATCCCGAATAGTAACGCTAG